TCATATGAAACAAACAAGGTAGAAAAGTTGGTCATATGATCAGAAGCACCTGAATCAATAATCCAAGGGATCTTAAGATTACCTGAAGTGGTTGCATGATTGGCAGAAGCCCTTATACCTGAATGAGCAAATGCAAAAGAAGTCGAATTTCCTGAAGGGTTGGAAGAAGAAGTCACACCCTCTAGATGACTGGTCATCTTCCCAAACTTTCCATATTCTGCTTTCATGGCTGCCAACTGTGCACAAGCAGACATCTCTTCAGTATAGTACTTGTCACTATCTAGACCAGTAGCCACATTTGCACTCCATGTCCTTTTACTATCATGCTTTTTCTGAAACCGAATGGGAACAAGATTAGGATGTAATTTCCAGCACTTGTCTTTGGTGTGCTTTGGCTTCTTGTAGTACTCACATACAACCTCTTTCTTCCCAATGCCACTAGAAGTCCCTGCAACTCCTTTGGGTTTAACCCCCATATTCGCAAAGTGATCACTAATACCAGCCCCTCGAACCTGGACAATCCTTCTGCTCTCTTCACTACTCACCAATGCATATGCTTGTGACAATGAGACACTCTCCTTGGATAAAATATTCTGTTTTGTGATATCATATTCTGGGTTTAGTCCGATTAAGAACTCAAACACCCTGTTTCTTTCAACCAGTTTCCTGTAGGTCTCTGCATCATTGGTGGTGTCCCAAGTTACAGCTTCTATTAGGTCTATTTCTTGCCACAGAGAATTCAGGGTTGAGAAGTATACAGCTAAAGGTTTCTCCCCCTGCCTTAAAATCTTCACATCACTTCTCAATTTATAGGCTCTAGCCACATTTAGTTTTTGGGAATAGGTTTCTGCAATACTGTACCAGATTTCCTTTGCTGAATTCATCCATAGATAGTGTTGGCTAATCTGTGGCTGCATTGAGTTCACAAGCCACCCAATAATAGTGTAATTCTCTTGCATCCACTTCTCATAGGATGGATCATCCTCTGGGGGAGCCTTCTTGCTCCCGGAGATAAAGCCCCACTTTCCTCTACTACAAATATAAATTTTTACCGATTGTGACCATGCTAGATAATTAGTTCCATCCAGCTTGATTGTGGTCACAGTCAATAAAGAATCAACTAGAGTCCCCTGAACTTGTCCAAATTCAGCAACATTCTTGCTTTCAATCTCTGAGGAGTCCATCATGTAAACACTTCAAATAGGATTTCAGCCGACTTCTACAAGTGTACTGAATGAGGATGGAGCAAGGACCATGTTAAACCAGCCTCAAAACAGCAATACACAAAGCCAAACCACACCCGGAAGCTGTGAGAACCAAGTCTGAAGCAGCACCTTGTTGTCTACACGAGACACTAAACAGTTTGGTTCGGCCTTCAAGAAGTAATCAGAAAACCTCCAAGCACTGTGCACCCAGTCGAAGCTCCTTTTCTAATCAGAAATTCTAGGTACTCACCAAAAAGTACCCCAAAAAGAGCAAAGACCAGTTCGTATTAATGAAGAGGCCTTTTTACAAACACAGTGTGGGCAGCAGAGAAGACCCCACTGTCAAAGGTGAGAAACACCTCAGGAACAGTCCGAACAGGGCCCAAAAACAACCAAATAGAAGCAACAACTCGCAGCACTAAATCCAAAGATTTTTCGGTAGTTTGACAGTCCAGAAAAGAAATGAAAACAACCCAGAAATCTCTGTGTTAAACCAGATTAAAAACAGCCGAATAGCTGTACAGTTTTCAAGGAAACTTCGGACACTTCAACAGTCCAAAAACAGAAAAATACCCCAGAAATAACTGAGCACAACTTACAATCTCTGACTTAAGCTCCAAATCAGAAACCGAACTATTCCTTTTCTCTAATTCTTCCTGGTCACCGAACCACTCTCCAAGAGATTTGAGTCTTGGGCACCCTCCAATGACCTCCAAGAATCAGGCGACACAAGCTGAAGCTTCCAGCCCTATAACACTCTCATGTAGTCGGCTGGACTACACCCACATGAGAGCCCAAGCCAAGTTCAGGCCTACTCTGATACCAAGAAGAAAAAACAGTCCTTGAGAGTGTGGGACTGTTTAGAATAGATGCAGAAATCAAAAGGAATCGAAAAAAAAAAAAAAGCAAAAAATACTTCTTCTATGGAGTAGAAGGTGAAGAAGGAGATGGTGGCAATAAGGGTTTAGAGTATGAGAGTTTCGAACCCCTTAATCTCTCTCAAACACCCTAACACTAATTTATTAAGTTAAATTTGAATAATTACAAGGAGGCCCTTAGTTGGGCAAGAAATTACAAAGATCATAACATAGAAAGGATGGGCCCAGAATAAGG